GCCCGATTATACGGTCCCCTGAGGCTTCGTGCTTAGGCTGGTAGCTGGCGATCACACGGCGATGCTGGAGCGTGGCAAAGAAGTGGCGTGGCAAGCATTTCGCGTTTGTGTGCATGTGCAGTTCCATGGAGCAGCACTGCTTTCAGTTATGTGTTTGTGTGCATGCGCTTACGAAAAACATCCGGTTTGCGACGGGACGTGGACGGGCGCCGGATGCCACGGGATACTAGCGCTCCCCCGATCAGACGCGTTTCCCGGATACTAGTGCACTTTCCGAGGTAATTTTTTACTGCGCATCTTTGGCGGGAAGCCACGGGTTGGCCACGGGTGCGCTACGCTTCCCGGATGTTGCAGTGTGATCGTGCAGCGAAAATCCGCCTGACATTTGTGTCTTTAGCGCGGCAACTTCTCTGTGTGAACGGGACCATCTTTCAACTACAGTTGCCGGGGATTGAACCTGGGACCTTCTGCATGCAACGCAGACGCTCTGCCACCCCTGAGCCACATGCCTTCTAATTCATATACCTTGGTTTCCAAAGAATTCTTACTTCTGTGGACAAAGACCCTCTCCAGCCCAGCTATCAGCTATGTTATTGATCTGCCTGAGAGAGGAGAGGGAAGGAACTAAGAAGTTATTGGGCGATCACGATATCTAACCGTGAAGGACCGTCTGCTTGCAGGTGACCAAATTCACACAACGGAACCATCGCAGACTTTTCCCCAGGCAGATAGCCTTGCTTTTCTGCAGTAGAAAAGCTCAATCTGAGTCCAGGAGCAAAACTCCCAAGGTGTAAGCTTTTGTGAGTCAAAAGTCCCTTTGGCCAGTTTGGTGTAGTGGTTAAGTGCGTGGACTTTAATCTGGGAGAACCAGGTTTGATTCCCCACTCCTCCACTTGCAGCTGCTGGATGACCTTGGGCAAGCCATAGTTCTGTCAGAGCTGACCTTGAAAAAGAGCAGTTTCTGTCAGAGCTCTCTCAGCCCCACCGACCTCACAGGGTGTCTGTTGTGGGGAGGGGAAGGAGTTTGTAAACTGCTCTGAGACTCTGAGTAAAGGGGTATAAATCCAATCTCTTCCTCCTCCTCCTCCTCCTCCTCCTGATAACTCTTGGAGACTTATACCCTGGAAATGCTCCTGAATTCAAATCTAGCTCAGACAATCCCTCAGAATTCCGTAAAGGTTTCTAGAGGCATCTTTGTTTTTTTAAAAGTTAATCAGGGGACCCTCCCGCCCAAAACAAACCCGTCCTAGCAACATTTGCACATGCTCAAAGTCCACACACAAAAAAGGAAAGCAGTGGCATTTGGCTGCCATTTTAGGCTTGCCAAGTCCCCCCGGGGGGCGCGTAAACCCCCGCCCGAGAGGCCCGTTACCCGTTGCCAGCAAATCGGGCCCCGGGGGGAACTCCACCCCCTTCCAGCACACGTCCCTAGCGTGATGATGTCCCCCAGAGGTGACTGGCCACGTTGGGGGCGGGACGCTCTATGATTTGAGGGAAAACCCTATGGTTTCCCCTTGAATCCTAGTGGCCCCGCCCCCAACATGCCGATGATGACATCACTTCTGGGGTAAGTGAATTTGGACTTGGCAACCTTATGCCATTTCGATAGGGTTGTCAGGTCATACCCGGTTGCCGGCAGAGGGGCACCTCCCTGTGCTTGGGAGTGTTCACTGTGCACGTGTAAAGTGATGACATCGCCCAGAAGGGACATCATCACGCAGGGCACGTTGTGGGGGTACATTCTAGCATTTGAGAAAACAACTCTATGGTAACTATGATAGTGCTAGAGCGTCCTCCGTGCAACATTCCCTGCGCAATGATGTCACCTCTGGGTGATGTTATTGTGTCATGTGCTTTGACGTGGATGGGGCTCTTTGGGGGCGGGGCAAACCCCCGCATCTGTAGGGGAATGGCAACCCAAAAATGCCACACCAAAAATGTAGGACTGGTGAGGAGGTGGCAGAGGGGAACCTCCATATTTAGAAGCACTAAGCTTCTGAATCCCAGAGCCAGGAAGCAACCTCAGGGGTAGGCCTGGGCCTCCATGCCCTGTTGTTTCCCATCCAGAGGAACTGGTTGGCCACTGTGTGAGGCAGGATGCTGGACTAAAGGGGTCCTCACTGGGCCGATCCCAGCAGGGCTCTTCTGATGTTCTTAAGGGAAAGGATGACAATGGTGAAGAAGAAGATGAAGAAGAAGAAGAAGAAGAGATTGGATTTATACCCCGCCCTTCACTCGGAGTCTCAGGGCAGCTTACGAACTCCTTCCCCTCCCCACAACAGACACCCTGTGAGGTAGGTGGGGCTGAGAGAGCTCTTTCAAGAAGTCCTCGTGAGAGAACAGCTCTGAGAGAACTTGTGACTGACCCAAGGTCACACCAGCAGCTGCATGCAGAGGAGTGGGGAATCAAACCCGGTTCTCCCAGATTAGAGTTGGCGCACTTAACCACGACACCAAACTGGCTCCCTCTGAAATGATGTGGCTCAACTCTTCACGCTCTTCGTTGTACTGTAAAAAAATGGATGTCCCAGAGGCCATTTGCTGTAGACCACAAGATCTCAATTCTCGTGGGCAGGTTATGATGCATCTCACTGGGAGGGGGCGGGATAGACACCTCCTGTGCTCCCTCTCAGCTGTGGAGTCTTGTGAGCAAAAATTCGACTTTGGGAGCTACCGGCATCAAAGTTGTGAGTGAGCGATTTGGCTTCTGCATCAATTAGTCTGCTCTGGAGCCATCCTTCCTGAGCGAAGACAACGATGCATGAGCCGAAGGCTAAAAATCTGTGAGCTAGCTCACGCTAACTCAGCTTACAGGGAACACTGGATACCGAAAGCATGAGAGGGCAAGTGAGCCAGTTATGCTTCTCTGCCATTGCTGCTTATGACTCATACAAAGACATCCTCAAGTGGGCGGACTGCGCAGTCCTAAGCAGAATCGCATCCTTTGAAGACCTTTTGAGTCGTTTCATCCTTCTCAGAGTTCCCCACCCTGCTCCAGCAAATGCTGTGAGATTTTGGGGGTGGCACCTGAAGAGGGCGGGATGGGGGAGGCACCGTCACTTCCTCTGTGCTACTCTAGGAGTTCTCCCAAGTACTGTGATATTTACTGTAGAGATGGGGGGAAATTCCTAGAGCGGCACCCAGAAGCGCTATCACTTTTTTTTTGGGGGGGGGAATATTGCTGGCCCTCCTATAGCATCACTGTCGATATCATTCCCCCTCCCCATGTCAGTCATCACAATATGATTAAATGTCACACAATATTATGTAAAGGTGTGCTTCCTGTGTGGTTCAATCCCAACGTCACGTCAAGCCATGATTAAAGACACTTAGCAACTTTCCTGTAATGGCTAGGGTTCCCAGCTCTGCATTGGCAGCTGATGGGAGATTTTGGGGGTGGCGCCTGTGGAAGGTGGAATTTCAGGAGGACGTGATGTCACTTCTGGGCGATGCTCTAGGAATTTCCCCTGATCTCTATGGTAAAAACCATTGAGAATAGGTGAAACTCCTAGAGTGTCAATGATCAATGCCCCCACCCCCTATTTCCCCCCTGTTCCTCAAATTATCAAGGGTGGGAGAGTAAGGTCGAGGGACTGCCCACTGTCAGTGGGAAAATGGCCAGCCTAGCAGCGTCTGAACTGACAAAGTATGCAATCTGCTGGCAAACTGTAATCCTTCCAGTCCACAGTTTGTGCTAATTGTGGTTTGGCATGGTGTTGGAGCTAATAAATCCTAGTCTTGGCTGCTTCTCTGTCTTCAGAGGCTGCAGCAACATGGGGACGGGAGGGATATTTTGAATTTAGGAAAACGAGGGGGGTCAACAGTGGGAGGGCTTCTAATGTCCTGGCCCCACTGGTGGACCTCCTGATGGCACCTGGTATTTCTGACCACTGTGTGATACAGAGTGTTGGACTGGATGGGCCTTTGGCCTGATCCAACATTGGCGTCTCTTATGTTCTTATGTTTTTATGAGTATTGAGAAGAAGGGAAACAAAAACAAGTGAGGCACTACTAATCCAGGCCGTGTGGTTGAAAGCTCCGGCGGCGATTTGATTTCTCATTGATGTCTGAATTGAATGTGTGTGTCTGAGGCCTGCGAATAAGCTGAAACATCCAAAGCGCTTTGGAATTGGTTTATTTGATCACTTTTATGCTGCCTTTCCATAAAAAAATGATACTCAAGGCTCACAGACCCGCCCCCCCTCCAACAAATACAGAATAGAACCAATACCACTTCTCTTGCCGGCGACTGTACAGCAACGTGATACATGGCTCTGGTGGTTTTCTCCATGACAATGCAAACCATATAAACAAGGTCTTCTGGATCAATGTGGCAATCCACGGCACACGAGTTATAAACAGGACTCCACATGTTGACATTTTGAGGGGCTGTGCTATCTTCGTTTGTTTGTTGGTGTACCCAGGGGTCATTCCGAAGAAAAAGAGGTGCAGGAGCTCATTAGCATAACTTATTTGCATATGCCACACCCCCTGACATCACCAGAAGTGTGTCTGAAGGCAACACCCAACGCTCAGGGTCCACTGGACTGCTTTGGATTGCTAGCTATTGGGGGGGGGGACATGCAGATCTGTCCTCACAGAGGAGGGAGAGCTTGTACCTGAATAAACCTTGGTCTTAAAGGTGCCACTGGACTGTTTTGGATTGCTAGCTATGGGGGGACACACACGCAGATCTGTCCTCACAGAGGAGGGAGAGCTTGTACCTGAAGGTGGGATGGGGGGGCCCTCTGCAACTTACCTGGCTGCTTCTTGCTCCTTGTGGCCCGACTGAGGGCTGCTGGGAGTAGGGGGCAGGGCTTATTGCATGTGTCCACCCCCTGGGCTCCTTACTGCCGGAGCTCCGCTCCTGTGCGCTCCCGCAGGAAATGACCCTGGGTGTACCTCAGGCTTTGTTTGTGAGGAAAATAGACCAGTTTTCAGATGTATTCCCCCCCCCAAAAAAACTGTGTCTTTCTTTTAGGTCAGTCTGAAATCTGGAGATGGATGCCGCAGAGTTCCGAAGAAGAGGAAAAGAGATGGTGGATTATATTGCAGATTACCTCGAGCAGATAGAAAAGAGGCAGGTGTACCCTGATGTGGAGCCCGGCTATTTGAGGCCCCTCATCCCGGACTCTGCTCCCGAAGAACCGGAGAGATTTGAAGACATCCTCCAAGATGTTGAAAGGGTCATCATGCCAGGGGTAATAACTAGAGATGAGCTTTGAAGAATATGTTGTTGTTTTTTTAAAAAACTTGATGTAATTCTTATCAGCAGCCATTTGACCATGAAGGAATAGCTAATCCTACTGTCACCCGTTGCATATGAAATCCAGCAAAGAACCCCTTTACATTTGGGATTTTAGGCTGGAGAGTTCAGTGTACTGGCTAAATGTTTGGACTTGGATATCCATCACGGCCATACCCAGGAAGCGCCACCTGCAATGGAATAGAAACAGAGTCCCACCAGTATTAAAATAATTGGGCCATCGGCTTTCTTTGCAATATGCTCTTTCTCTTTCTTTCATCAAGCAAATTGCCCTAGGAGGATGGCAATTTAATGTGATTGATCCTCAGTTTAAGTATAGGATTAATCAAGCTCTGACAGTAAGCACTTTCCCCCCACTTCTGACTCATCAGTAATGCCACTGCGAATCATAAGGGTCCGTGGTCAGAGTCTCTGGTTCTTCGTAGACTTTTCCTAGCCTTTGCACACAAAAGTCAGGTTTGCAAGACTGTAGACCTACCGTCACCCCAATCCCTCAAAAAAGACCTAATAAATCCCAAATATTATTAGTATCTCAATCCCAAATATTATTTGCTCTCTTTAAGTACTTGAAGGGCTGTCACTTAGAGGAGGGCAGGGAGCTGTTCCTGTTGGCAGCAGAGGAGAGGACTCCCAATGATGGTAAGGTAAAGGTAAAGGTTCCCTTGCTCGAAAGCCAGTCGAATCCGACTCTCGGGTTGCGGTGCTCATCTCCATTTCAAAGCCGAAGAGCCAGCGCTGTCCGAAGACATTTCCGTGGTCATGTGGCCGGCATGACTAAACACCAAGGCGCACGGAACGCTGTTCCCTTCCCACCGAAGTGGTACCTATTTATCTACTTGCAGTTTCTTGCTTTCGAACGGCTAGGTTGGCAGGAGCTGGAACTAGAGACGGGAGCTCACTCCGTCATGCGGCACACGCGGGTCTCGAACTGCTGAACTACCGACCTTTCACAGCCTGCATTTCAGCGTCTTAACCACTTGAGCCACCGCACCAGCTTTGTATTAGGAAAATCTTTTTTACAGTCAGAGTTGTGCAACAGTGGAATCAGCTGCCTCGGGAGGTGGTGAGCTCCCCTTCCCTGGCAGTCTTGAAGCAGCGGCTGAACAAACACTTGCCAGGGATGCTCTAGACCAGGGGTGTCAAACATGCGGCCCAGGGGCTGAATTAGGCCCCTGGAGGGCTTCTATCAGGCCCACAGTGGAACTGGCTGTCTTCTGCTTCTTCTTCCAGTTCTGTTGCTGCTGCGTCATCGTAGGTTTGCAGCTTACAGATACACACCTGAACAGCATACTCAAGATTGCAACAGCACAGACGTTTTGATGCAATAATTCAGAGCAAGAGGTGTCAGTTATCAGACACCGTTAAATAAACAAAATATTGCAAGAGTGCTGACCTTTTAAGCATGATTTTATTTTAAGTAAAAAACAACAACACCCTTTGTGTTTGTGTCCTTTATAAAGTTTATCTCTCCGCTACCGGGCATTACATTTCATGACACACATGGCCCGGCCCAACAAGGTCTCATTTATGTCAGATCCGGCCCTCATAACAAATGAGTTTGACACCCCTTCTCTAGACCGATCCCGCATTGAGAAGGGGGTTGGACTAGATGGCCTGTCTGGCCCCTTCCAACTCTGTGATTCCTTGATTCTGGTCATAATTTGTGTAATATGCTTTACACTGTAGGCTTCAAATAGGAACTTCTCACATATGTATCTTTAATGTCTTGGGGGCGATTCCCCCCCCCAGATTATTGGTGATCGGTGCCATTTTTTCTTCCGCGCATAGTTTTCATGTCTTCTTCTTCTTTTTTAAGAAAGATGTGTCTCTTTCTGTTCGGGTCAATGCTATTGCTAAATCTTATTTATTGATGCACAGAGAAAGGTTGTTCTTTCTAATTAGACTGTCCCAGGAGCGACCTCTGGCTAAAAAATGATCTAACCTTTCATTGGTTGTTTTCTAATTTGCTGTTTTGGGGCAAAGTGATCAAGTGGGAGGTGGCGGAACATGCGCCTGGATGATCCATCTTTCCACGGGCCCACCTGAGTCTGTTTTGGGACAGAGACAGCGGTCACGTGGTCTGGATTAATGAGTGGCCTTTGATGACTGTAGGGCATTTTTATTTCATCAGATGGTTGGGTCCGGGGGAAAGGACAGCCAACAAAACAGAGTCGATTTCAACACTCTCTGGGCTCTCGAGGGTTCTGTTCCAGGTTACTTTATGTTCAGCCACTGGCAGAAATTGTTCATATCAGGTTGCCAACTGCGGCCTGGAGAATTCTTGGAGGTCGGGGAGTGAAGCTGGGGGGCGGATGAGTTTTGGGAGGGAACTTGGCTAGAATGCGATGCCCTCCAAAGCATTATTATTCCGCATCCCGTCTTGGGTATTGTTGTTTAGCATTTAACAAGCTTTAACAGTTACAATATTTCTATAGATAACTGGCTTAGGTTTCAACAGCAGTGCCGGAGACCTCCCAGTTTCACAGCGGCCTCTGCAGGTGGGCACGCTGTCAACTCTGTGCTGACGTGTTCTGCCGAAAATGCAGAAGATGTTTCCGTTCGGACCCATGATCGTAAGAGCTGGAGACCATGCAGAGTGTTATAGGGTGTTGCCTTTCTTCATTTGGGGCCTGGAGTTGTCCCCATGGCAGAGATCACTTCCCTGGGAGAATAAGGAGGTTTCACAGGGCATACTCTTGGCACAGGCCAAAAGTCATGAGGGCCACTGGGGGCAATGCCCTCCACAGATGAGTGCTGCCCCCTCAGACAAAAACAAATAAAAAGAAATCTGGGATTAAAAAAAAATCATTTTTAAAAAATGTAGGATGCATGTGGGTGTTCCAAAACGACCCCAGGCATGGTTAGGGGAGTTTCAGTCTTGTTTTTTCTTCTTTCCAGGCCGAAAAATAGATAGGTTTTTAAAAAATGCAATAAAGTAAAATTGCAAAAAAGAAAACAAAACTGCAAAATGCAAAATAGGGAGAGTCGGAGATCCCCCCCCCCCCCCA